AGATAGACCCCCCTGTCCTTCCTCTTTTGCCATATGCCCTCTGGGATTTTAAGGTCCCTCCAGGAAAAGAGGAAGCATCCATGGGACTGGTCGGGCACTTGGCAAACTTTGGGAGGTTTTGTTGTTGGGAACCACTGGGGCGTTTGCCTCACCCCTTAGGAGTGGACGACTTTTGTCCCTGGAACTGCTTGCCGCAAGTGAGGGCTAGCAGTGTCTGGGCCAGCAATTGAGCAGTCTGGCCTGCTGATGCTCCTGCACCCTAGCCAGTCGAGGTAGTAGATCCCCCCTAGCTGGTGCCTGCAGAGTCATCATCAAACTCCATGGCGTACAAGTTCCCCTTTCCCTTCCTCCTACATTGGGAAGAGGGGTTGCCTCCCTTCTGGGGAATGGACTGAACATGGAGTGTTTCCTCCGTGTCAAAGGTTGCTCGACCAAAAGACCGCCAATCCTTGTGTCGTGCAAAGAACAGGGTCGTGGTAGATTTCTCAGGAGCTGCCCTGATGAACCAAGTCAGTTGGTCCCTGTCAAACATCTCCAAACCGGGAGTAGAGGTGAGACGCTCAAATTCTGCATAGAGCTTGGCCAAGGAACCCCTGTACTTTGTCTGGCCAAGACTAACCAGCTCATCTGCAGCTTTATGAGCCTTCTCCTTGTCTGCAAACCTCGCCTTCGGGCCCTGAAGAATGGTTTATAATCCTGCTGCAACAGCCCAACCGAATAACTGTTGTTGAGACTTGGTGGCCTCAGACGTAGCCCACTTCAATACTGACCCGCCGAAAAGGGCCGCAGTGAACCGCACCTTATTGACCTCTGGGCAAATGAATCCCCTCAGATAGGATTTCATTGACGCGATCCAATCTGACACATCCACTTTGGCGTCATCGCCAGTGAATTTGTCAGGTTGCATCATCTTGAGGAACCGCTATTCCTGCTGGCTCGAGCTACCACCACGAAGTCTCAAATCCTCAAGGACAACATGTTGCTTGTTAGGGGAAGCAGGCTTTCCCTTGGGAGAATGGGGTGGTGTTGCAGTAGGAGTAGGGACCAATTTGAGTTTAGGTTTGGCTGACTGATCAGGGGTAGAGATAGTTGAGTGGGGAGAGGTACTGAAATGTTGCCCTATTCGATCCATGGCCTCTGGAATAAGAGACTGTTTGGCTTCAACTGTAGTCAAGCGATCTTCTATTGCAGTAGCCCAGTTCATCCAGGCAGTGAGGGCGTCTTTGACCGAAGTGAACTTCAAACGGATCCACTCAGCCAACTTCCTGTTAGTGTCGCTGAATCTTTCATCAGATTCAGCGGCCAGGAAGTGTTCCGCCAGCACTGTGCAGTTGGCCTCCTTCTGAGCCTTCCGGTCTCCTTCATGCTTCTCAATACTCTTGCGACTTTCCTTTGCGGCCACCTCCTCCTTCTCAATCTCCTGCTCGATGGCAGTTTTGGGAATCACAGAATCCTTGCCTTTGTCATTCCCAGAACCGCCAGAGTTTGCGTCGTCAGCCATACCCAGTTAATTTATTTTTCCAAATAAAAATAAGATTCGGATTAGAGTTCACACACTAAACAACAATCTACTCAGAATTATACTGTGATGTTTACGCAGTTAGAGAAAAGGGTTAGAACAGATAAAAGATTAGTACTTCGTGTTTGTAGGCATTCAGCAGGCATCGATCAACAGCAAAACAACATTTGTTCACTTTTACCGCACACCCAACTGATAAAAAAAAAAACAATAATTTCATACCAGATCCATATCGGATCTTCCCACGAACACCAGCATGATGAGCAAGGCAAGCAAACCCGATTCCATTCGCAAAAAAAAAAAAAAAAACCTGCGGCGGGATGTCATTCATTTTTGCAGAAATAAAAATAAACCCCGTAATTTGCAGGCTGCAAACGAGCAGGTAGACTGTGTGGACTTGATTAGACTGACGACATTGAATAACTGCGCGGACCGTTGTGACACGACTGACAGTCCCTTTTTGGACTGACCGCATCGACTGAACTGACACTAGATCTGACACGACAGACTATGACAGGACAGATCAACAGGCAGAACGGAAACCGCAAACACAGCCTGTGCGCAGGCTCAAGACACACGGTCAACTGCAAGCAAGGTCAGAGGGGAGTCAAACTGTTGACAACCCACTGACGACGGGCAGACAGACAAACACTCACTGACCTCTCGACAGGCCACAGACTGACAGACCCGACCGACCAGTTCTGACAGACTGACGGACTGACGTCGGAGGGACAGGTTGCCGAAACGAGCTCACTCAATCAAGGTCTTGATTGGAGATTGTCGCCGGTCAAGTTTGACCGTGTACAGGGGCCTGGTTGACTCCCTGTCAGTCAGCGCCCAAGCTGAATACTCGTCGCAAGTTCCAATCAATTGCCGCAGATTGAACTGCCGACGGTTCTTATGCAAAATTCGACCCTCAAGTGGTCGTCCAAAACCGGTGGCTGGCCAAGCAGGTTGAGCTTGCCACTTTGAGGGTTGTCGTGCCCTCAGGTCAACGGCTGAGTAATTAGGGTTGACGTCTGGGTTGTTTTGGCGCCTGCCGCCTACACCTACTGTTGGTGGTAGGCGCGCCTAGGACCCGTTGGCGATCGACAGACTGGCTAATTTTTTTCTTCTCTTTTTTTTGATGACGTGGTCGTGTGCGGCTTGAGGAGAGCATCCCAAATCCGCAATAAAATTTTGTGGGGGTGGTGGGGTTGG